CATATTTTATTAATATTCGTCATACGCATTAATATTATTTTCGTCCCTATTATTCTCCTCTCTGAAGTTTAGCCTGACTTATAGGTACCTTACAAAACATTATTGTAGAAAGGACTTTCTAACTTTATATCTGCCGAATCAACTTTTCATATAAACAGCCGGCCCACTCTCGACATAATTGAGTTCTGAATAAATCAAAGTTTATTTCAACTTAAGGTAATTTCGTACTCCCAAATCAGGCCTACCCCCGAAATTGCTTTCAAATGCGATTCGATTTTCGATTTAACTAAGGTCGAAACTTTTTAAATATTTTTATTGCATAAATAGGACTAACTTATCAAGAAAAAGCATTCCGGTCACATGCGATTGCGAGCGCCACTAGCAACGTACAGCTGAAGAAATTCGTACCGATAATTCTAATTTGATTCAATATTCGATTGTGTGATAGCTATGGTTTCGAGAGTATGAAATGACCTTGAGTTCGAATAAAAATCAATTGGTGCAGAATTAACCGTGGCGGTGTAAGAATATCCATTACCCCATATCGTCCCGTGGGTGTCGTAAGACGCGACAGTGGGAAACAAACCACAACAAACAACAAAACCACAACAACAAACAACAAAAAGAGATGGGTGGCAGCATCTTCCTAAAAGCAACTAGAAAATAAAAAGCTGCGGTTGCCACCCGCATGCAAAGCGTGACATATATAGCAAATATCTTCAAGGCAATCTATGCTTATGTTCAGCACTGGACTTTGATAAGCAGTAAAGAGAATTCAGAACTTGATTCTGTCGTGAGTAGACCGAGTTCAGAACAATGGCAGCTTGAATCGAGAACCGAATCGAATTTAATTTCGAAAGTAAGTCTGCAGAATAATTGTTAACAAATAATACTGCCTTTTACAAAGAAAGTTATGTAAAAAATATCACATATAAAGGTGCATTCTTAATTTGACCGAAACTTTATTTAATAGGACTGACCGACAAGACACTACAAGTTAATATTCAACTATAAATACGAATACCTTAGAAAGGAATCGATATAAGAATATTCTTTCAACTATTCTCTATAATTGTATGCAGTACATCAGCAAAAATAAAGAAACATAACATAAGCAGAAATCAATCTTCAAAAATATATGTAGTAGTGTTTGCATATGAACTGACCGAACGTCGCTGCATGATACTTCGTAATGAGAATATCTGCAGTACTCGTAGAACCAGAGTAACCGACAAAGCGCAATGGATCAGTAAGCTGAAGTGGCAATGGACCGGCCATACGGACCGGATCGAAGAACGTCGGTTCTTCGATCTATATGGCCGTCCCATATTTATGAACAACCGATGTGGTAGAAAATTTCCCGAGTGGGAGACAAGTATTACCAAGAGAAATGTAGAGTGGCCCCTACAGGATAGAGTAACAACCTGTTTTTTTTTTTTATAGAAGAGGAGGCAAACAAGCATGCGGCTCACCATTTTTTTATTTATTCTTAGAAAGACTGTACATTATTTACTTTTTAAATTTTGCCAAAACGTAATCCAGTTTGTCGGCAACGCAACAGTTTATCGTTTCACACTCCTCAATAACAATATCTGGTATTTATAAATACTTAAATTAACACATAAATAATTAATGAAACATTCACCACTATACACCACCACAACAACTGATAATGTTTCCTCAAAATGGTTTTGGGCTGCAACTTAGTTACGCTTTCGTCACAATATATATCTTACTAACCTAATGGTGTCGACCAACGCCCATATAGCATGATAAGATGACGAATACCTAATGATAAGATAGATGTACATGTCGATAGATGCACATGGTTCAGGGCCGTATTTTGTAGCATTTCTTGGTTGAAGTCTATGATCAGGTGTTGACTTTTGATCGACCTCAGTGATAATGATAATGAATGATAATATTAAGGTTATCACAAAGATCGGATGGCAGATTAAAAGACTGTTTTGAAAGTTATTTAGAAGGCGCCCGTTTTAGGTGTAGAACTTTTCTATTGTTTTGATTGTTTAATTTTAAAGTCTTTGAACGGTTAACGAATTCGCCGAATCTACCAAAAAGTTTTTAATTGTGGGCTCAATGAATTGAAAGAAAGTGTACCGCGGGGCATTATTATCTCTTTGTAGTAAGTTACGAACGACCCCTTTAATATAAAACTTATAATAAAATTACTTGCGCCCCTAGAATGAGCTGCGTGAAAAGTTAAGAAATCCCACGAGTACACATAAATTTAACAAAATACGGAATAATTTCCTTTTGTATAAGTGTAAGGTCAAACGATCGTTTATTTAATAGTAAATGCTGTAACCCATAGAAACTTTCATCTATCCTCGATTAAGAATTAAAATGCAGGTGCGTTGTCACCCCTGATGGCTAACATGGAATGCCTCATTACCAGTAAATAATAAACCTAGCAAGCTAATAGCATAGCAAAGTGGCGAAGCAATCAGCTTTGTAGCAGTTTCTAACGGTTGCCGAGCAATCAGTTTCAAAATAGGAGGTTCAGATGCCTGGGTGATCAGTAATCCATTGCTAAAAACAGAATTTGAAAATTCGAAACCGTTCTCGAGATAATCGTGGGACAGACGGACAGACGGACAGACATCGTGAAATCAATAAGTGACTTCGCAAGCTTCGCCACTTAATAATCCGGTTCTTGTCACTCGCCATACGAAATACATTATTACATTTTTTTTAATATTTTTTGTAAATTATGAATAAAGGTGACAAATCACCACACAGATTTTATTTTATTTTATTGAATAAGGTACACAAATACACAGTAGTTACATTATACAGTTCTAAAATTAAAAGAGCTATGCTCGGAGTTTCTCTGCGTGATAAACTTAGAGAAATGAGTATATCCGCAGTAGAACCAGAGTGACCGACATAGCCCAACGGATTAGTAAGCTGAAGTGGCAATGGGCCGGCCATATAGCTCGAAGAACCGACAACCGATGGGGAAAAAAGGTTCTCGAGTGGGGGCGTCACCCACTAGATGAAGTGACGACCTGGTAAGATAAGCAAGAAGTCGATGGATGCAGGTGGCTCAGGACCGTGCTTTGTGGCATTCCTTGGGGGAGGCCTGTGTTCAGCAGTGGACTTGTGAAGGGCTGTAATGATGATGAAAATTAAAAGCATAGTAGCAAGTAATGGTGTTGATCTAACCTACAATCCAAAAAAGTGTACACAGCATAGTAATATAACTGCGGCAGAATAACAGAAATTACAAGATAAAAAATATATAAATATATATTCTATATATATTATAATATATATAGAATATAAATTTCTTTTATATCTAACAAGGCTACTATCGAATATATCTAGAAGTACGTTACTATGCTTAATCTTGTAATCACGACACACTTTGACAACAGAATTGAAAATTGAAGTGTCAGAAGTGTTATTCCTGTGGTAGAGAGTAATTGTGTTCTGTGTTCCTGTGTACGTCTAACCTAAATTTTCTTTGAACACGTTGTCGTATACCGAAATTGAAGTTAATTAGTCTTAGTAACTCTGGGCAATCTATATGAGAATGCACAATCTTGTACAAAAAAACTTCGTCGGTAAATTATCTCTTCAAATTTGGACATTAAAAAAATTAGTAGAGAGTCGTATTTTTTTTATAGGATAGGGTGACAAACGAGCACACAGTCCACCTGATGGTAAGTGGTTGCTGTGGCCCATAGACATCTATCCTCGTTTGCGAATCAAAATGCAGATGCGTTGTCACCCGTGAGTACTAAGATGGAATGCCTCGTTTCCAGTAAAAAGGGTCTCCGATTCTCTACACTCACCATAAGAAACACAGCAGCGATAAGCTGCTATTTTACGCTGGTATTCTGTGAAAGCGTGGTCCTTCCCCGGTCGAGCCGACCCATTCGTGCTACAACCATATCATAGCTGCAGCATGGCTCTACCACGTAACAAAATGGCTCTACCACGTAACGTATAATGATAGACGACGCAAGTGAATATATCTGCCACAAACACTGCGAAGGAAACAACTCTTATGGTAAGTGAATGCTTTGAAAATATTTTGAATTTGACTTTGACATGAAAGACTTCTTAGTAACGTTTATTATACTATTTTTTGTTTATTATAAGTCAGGACTTAACTACAGTCCCATTTGATGGTAAGTGGTGGTGTAAGCGAAGATATTAAGGCGGACTGAATTATCTTAACAAAAGTCTTTTCAAACTTACCTTGACTCTACTCATTGTAAGCGGACAGATGCTGTCAAGTTTACACTCCATTGTCATACGTATTATGAATAACGAAGCTGTTTGGTCTGAATACGCGGTATGTCGACAACAAAAGGGTGAAGACTAACCGATATACATGTTCAATCGTGAGGTTATTTACGATTGAAACTTCTTCATTAGACCCGGGTCGCATCAAACTATCGATGATTAAATTTTTCCGGGTCTGTAAACTGTCTCCACGTTAATTTAGAAAATTCTAGAGTTGGTAACGTTTTTAAAAGAAAAAAATAAAACGAACTTTGGGTATTTTATCGCGTTTAATTTAAATTATTTTTCCCCGTATTTTTTTATTTTTTCCAGAAACGTCGAGAATTAAAAAGAATTAATATTGAACGCGATGAAATCCGTATAGTTTATTCTAATTCAACTGTAGAGCAAGTTAAATATTTTATCATTATTGTGAACTCCATTAGCGATCCTCAATAAATAAATAAATAATAAGCTGGCCAAGTGCGAGTCGGACTCGCGCAGGAAGGGTTCCGTACCATCGTAACCCTTAAAATACGTTTCTAGTAGGGGAGCCGCCTTTAATTTTTAATTTATTTTTTTTTGTTATAGCGGCAACAGAAATACACTTTCAACTGTCTACCTATTACGGATCATGAGATACAGTCCGCTGACAGACTGACGGACGGACGGCGGAGGCTTAGTAAAAGGGTCCCGTTGGTTACCCTTTGGCCTTTGGGTACGGAACCCTAAAAGTTACAACTTACCTCGCCTCACGTATCGCGTCGACCCAGTGCACGCAGTCCACTTCCGAGGCAGCACGCAGCTCGTACTGGCGCTGACGTTCGCTTCGATACGATATTGTGAAGCAAAACTGGTAACAAAAATACACATACTATATTATTATAGGATTTTTTTATAGTATAAGGGTGACAAACGATCATACAGTCCACTGCTGCAGCATGGCTCTACCACGTATGTAAAATAAAATATATATAATTGTAAAGGATCAAAAAGCGGACTTCATGCTGAAAAAATGTACGCCTGTTAAACTGCCAGCCAACAGTAGTATGATGGGTCGTCCACTACCCTTTATATGGTCGAGAAGAGCGATGACTACCACGTAAGTAAGTGGCGTAAGAGGTGCCTATGGGATAAGTTAAAAAGGCGTCCGATAGATGGCGCTCTTATCTATTTAAGGTCTTTGAGGCATTTCATATTGTTCCTTCATACTACTCCTATGGTACGAAATAGGGTCATAGAATAGAATAGAATAATTTTTTATTCAATATTGATTACAAGTAATTCTTATCGAAAGTATTTTTTTTACTTTACCACTAGTTCGAAAAAAATCCTCTGTCCTGGGAAGAACCAGTACGAAACCCAGCGGTACTCTTTTTTAAATGAATTTTACAATATAAATGATTAGGTTCAATCTATTTACAAACTTTATTTTAGAAACAGATTAGAAGCGACCACTTCATTCTCGGGGGTTATTATCAACCATGTGTTCATTTATATTATAATAGCCCTTTTTATACAGTTTCAGCTTAACAAAACATTTAAACTTGGTAACAGTGAGAGCCTGCACACTTTCCGGGATCTTGTTGTAATAGCGTATACATTGCCCCAAGAATGAATTACCTACTGACTCTGTAGAGCCGAGAGACTGGTATCACTAGCTTGTGTTTGTTCCCAGTGTTTACAGAGTGTATATCACTTTTTTTACTAAAACTATCTTTGTTTCTATGAACATACATTAAATTTTCGTAAATATACTGAGAGAACAAAGTTAATATATTTATTTCTTTAAATTTAAAGAAACTCTCTCGGCTTAAAGTTGTAAATAGTTCTTATGGCCCTCTTCTACAAAACAAAAATAGTTTCTAAATCAGTCGCATTTCCCCACAGCAAAATCCCATAAGACATTATGCATTGGAAATAACTGAAATAAACTAGTCGAGCTGTTTCGAGACTAGTGAGATCTCTAATCTTTTTTAAAGTATAAGCTGCAGAGCTTAGTCTGCTTGCTAGTTTGGATATAGGTATGGGGGCTCCACTGAAGCTTGCGTCGAGAGTGATGCCAAGAAAAACAGAGGATTCAACAGGGCTCAGTTCTTCCCCATTTAAAAATACATTGGTATTCAGATTTTTAACATTCGTTGTTTTAAATTTAATACATTTAGTTTTATTGCCGTTTAAATGCAGATTATTAACGTTATGCCAATGCGCTAATTTTGATATAGCATTATTCACTTCGTCACCTTGATATCAAAGAACACCTGGAAAATTTGGCATATTAAAAGGAAACGCCGCGCCGTAGTGAAAGATTGTTTTTGTTGACTCTGCTACGTATACAGAAAATATTTTTTTCATTCTTGGGAGGACAGTGAAGTGCCTCAAGATGAAATTTTGAGTGAACAAATAACAAAAATACTATTATATTATGGCTTCGGAACGTGATGTCGTTGAATGCCTTATTATAAATACAGATGGCAATAACTCCGACACTTCGAGTGATGAAAAATAGTGTCTATTTAACTTTGTTTTATGTTTACCTACCCACTCAATTTAAACTATTTTTAATTTAAATTCTCAACCTAACTTGTGTTTATTATTTATATTCGTATTTTATTACAATAACTATAATATTCTTAGAATAGAAAAATAGTTATTTAAGGAAATAAATGCTACGTGATTATTTTCTTTTGCCTTTTATTAATTTGTCATAAGTAGTTTAATGCTGCAGCTGTACATCACCAAAACTTTGTATGCTAAGCATACACATTTTTGGTTTTGCAGACTAAGTAACTTTTCCACTAAATTCTAACTGATTGATTTTTTTTAAACTATCAGTCACTAATTAGTCACTAAATCTTGACACATATTACACAGCAACAAATATAAGCGTTCTGGAGTTATTCTATGCTATAATAATCTTCACGCCGGAATCCTTCTTATAAGACAAATGAATATCTCCGGTTCCGTTGGAGAAATATGTTTCAATCTCAGTCACCAATAGTCACTAAATCTTAAAATATAAATCATATCTCAGACGCAGACAATAATTTTTGTTTGTTTATAATGTCCGATGATGATTCATTCTATTCTGCTAACGATTCTTCAACAAGCCTTGACTCTTTCGATGAGCCGGAAACTCTCCGCAACGTGCTTGATAAATCTTTAGAACATCTCCCCTCTTCTTTTAAAGTCTGCCATTTGAATGCACAGAGCATACCCTCTCATTACTCCGACCTTTTAGATACTTTCACTTCTGCCTCTTCAAATGTGCAGGCCATTCTAATTTCTGAAAGCTGGCTGAAGCCCTCTCTTTCAAATGTTTCTTACAGCTTACCAGGCTTTGTCTAGATTAGAAATGATAGATTAGGTAAGGGTGGGGGAGGTGTTGCAATTTATCTACGGTCCGACTTACGTTATTCTGTAATTGCATCCTCACCTTCACAATACTCTGCTTCGGCTGAATATTTATTCTTGGAAATTCAGGTGGGGCGTTCCAAATTAGCACTTGGGGTTGTTTACTGTCCTCCTTCTGTTGATTATTTCTCCAGCCTAGAAATGGTCTTAGATTCTGTATGTGCAGACTATACACATCACATTATCATGGGCGACTCCAATACTGACCTCCTCAAAACTTCTTTGCAATCAAGTAAGCTCATAAATATCTTGTCTTCAGTAAATTTATCCATCCTTCCCTGCTCTCCTACTCACCATAACCTTGACTCCCCGGATACCTGGCTAGATCTAATAATCACGTCCTGTCCTAATCTAGTCAATAAATATGGTCAGTTGTCAGCTTCCGGCTTTTCGCGTCATGATTTACTTTACCTTGCATATAGGTTGAAGTTTGCAAAAGTTGAACCCGAGGTACTTTTGGTTCGCTGTTACAATAAAGTTAACCCAACGAAGCTTCTGATTGATGCAAAGGCCATCGACTTCTCGCCTGTGTATTGTGCGTCATCAGTTGACGATAAAGTATCTATTTTCACTAAATTAACACTGAAACTGTTTGATGCGCATGCACCGGTGAAATCTTTTAGGGCTAAGCGGCCTCCAGCTCCGTGGATAACGAAGGGTGTGCGCATGGCGATGACTCGACGCAACCGAGCTTTCAGAAGGTTTAAGCGTGACAGGAGCAATGAGAATTGGGACTTGTACAAAATTGCTCGCAATCGTTGCAACCAAATGGTAAGGGCGGCAAAGCGTCGTTACTTCTTTGACAATATATCTAGTGCTTCTTCGGCGGATACTTGGAAATTTCTTAATTCTCTTGGTCTATGTAAATCCTCCACTATGAAACATAATATCCTATTCCCTCTAAATGACATAAATTCCTATTTTTCTACAGGTTCCTCACTCTCTCCAGTTATTAAGTCCCAGTCAATCTTAGAAATTAATTCCAAGGCCAAACCTTTACAAATACCCTTCTTATTCTCGCTTGTCTCTGTTAACGATGTTCGTAAAACATTTGCTTCTATTAAATCAAAAGCAGTGGGTTGTGATAATGTGAGCCGTGCTATGATCTCTTTAGTTCTCGAACTCTTTCTTCCAGTCATTACTCACATCATTAATTTTTCTCTGTTGTCAGGGGTATTTCCTTCTTTGTGGTGTAAAGCCTATATAATTCCGCTTCCTAAAATTTCAAACCCCTTGCAACTCAATAATTATAGACCTATTTCTATTCTTCCATTCTTATCAAAGATCCTGGAATCTATAGTTCACCGGCAAGTATCAGGTTTTATATATAATAATAACTTGCTCACTCAATTTCAGTCGGGCTTTCGTCCCGGACATAGCACCACCACTGCACTTCTTAAAGTTACAGAGGACATTCGGGATGGCTTGGAGAATAGAAAGGTCACTGTGCTTGTTCTCGTGGACTTTTCTAATGCCTTCAACATGGTTGACCATGATATTCTCCTCGCTATGCTCGGTAATCTAAACTTCTCCTCCATTGCTTTAAATTGGTTCTCTTCCTACCTTTGTGGTCGCCAACAAGCTGTTCGAGTTGGTAATCATTTGTCTGACTGGTGTCAGCTTGTATCTGGCGTGCCACAGGGTGGAATATTATCTCCTTTATTGTTCTCTATTTTTATTAACTTCCTTTCCTCTCAACTTTGCTGTTCTTACCATTTCTACGCCGACGATTTGCAAATTTATACTCAGACTGATGTGGATCACATTAATAATGCTGTTATCAATATTAATACAGATTTATTAAATTTAAGCAATTGGGCTAGCAAATTTGGCATTCTAGTGAATCCTAACAAATGCCAAGAAATTTTAATAGGAAGTGCTCGTCAGTTATCTAAACTTGATATTTGTTCTGTCGCTCCTGTCATGTTTGATGGATCATGCATCCCTTATTCCAGCACTGTGAAAAACCTAGGCCTCTGTATGGACTCAACTCTCAATTGGTCCACTCACATTCAAACAATAAGTGCTTCAGTTACTGCTAAGTTGGGTGCCCTAAATCGCCTTAGAAACTTCCTTCCGGTCAAGGTAAAGATAACTCTGGTGCAGTCTCTTATTTTGCCCATTATTGATTATGCTGATGTGTGTTGTACTGATCTTAATGAGAACCTTCTAGACAAGCTGGATCGTCTCGTAAACAACTGTGTCCGATTCATCTTCTGTCTTCGCAAGTTTGACCATGTTTCCTCCTTTAGATTTCAGCTAAATTGGCTTCCCATTCGCCAACGGAGGCAAGTCAGGACACTTCTCATACTTTTTTCTATTTTATTCGACAATCGTTGTCCCGACTATTTGAAACGTAAGTTTCAATTTCTATCTGATACGCATAATAGACCTCTACGTTCTTCGGAGACTCTTACGCTCTCCATTCCACTTCACCGT